TATTATATAGCAAACCAATTGAAGAATACAAAGAGACACACTCAATGTGGGACTTCTATACTATGTACAGCAACAAGATCAAATCTCAGAGTAAGTCTTAATCCTAACTCTACCATTTTAAATAATACCTCTACATCTGATTCTTCTAATCCACCTATAAGGCAGTCACAAAGAAGCACAAAAGGCATACCCAAAGTATCCTATGAACCAGATCCTAAGTCCAAAGTCAAGTATCCCATAAACAACTATGTGTCCAGTCATAAACCACTCGAACCATATGCATTGACCACTGATCTCTTGTCCAATATTTCTATTCCAAATTGTGTGCAGGAGGCCTTGAAAAATCAGAAATGGAAAGAAGCAATGAATGCTGAAATGGAGGCATTACAAAAGTACATGGGAACTAGTAGACATACCACATGGAAAGAAAACTATTGGGTGCAAATGGGTGTTTACGGTCAAAATGAAGGCAGATGGACACATTGATAGGTATAAAGCTCGTATGGTTGCCAAGGGTTATACCCAAAGATATGGAGTTGATTACCAAGAGACATTTGCCCCCGTGGCAAAATTGAATACAATTCGAATCTTAATCTCCATTGCAACCGTGACTGGCCATTGAAGCAATTTGATGTAAAAAATGCGTTTTTAAATGGAGATTTGGAAGAAGAAGTGTACATGGATATACCACTAGGAGTCAAGAGAAGTATGACTGAAGAAACCAAGGTTTGCAAGTTTAAAAAGGCACTATATGGACTTAAACAATCACCAAGGGCGTGGTTTGGAAGATTTACTTTGGCTATGAAGAATTTTGGGTACACACAAAGCAACTCTGATCACACTATGTTCACCCAAAACAAAGAAGGGAAAGTAACCATTTTAATAGTTTATGTTGATGATATAGTTGTAACAGGGGATGATCCAGATGAAGTAAAATTGTTGGAGTAATATCTGGCCACGGAATTCGAAATGAAAGATCTAGGAAATCTTAAATATTTCCTTGGAATTGAGATTTCAAGATCAAACCAAGGGATATTTTTATCACAGAAAAAATTTATCCTGGATCTACTAACTGAAACTGGTATGTTAGCTTGTAAACCAGTAGATACACCAATAGAGATGAATCACACTTTGGGAGTGTACCCAGATCAGGAAGGAACAGATGTTAACCGCTATCAAAGATTGGTAGGTAAGCTTATTTATCTCTCACATACAAGGCCTGACATAGCTTATGCAGTAAGTGTGGTGAGTAGGTTTATGCATGCTCCTAGTGAAGACCATATGAATGCTGTGTTCAGAATACTAAGGTATCTCAAAGGGTCATCTGAAAGAGGATTGCTGTTTTCAAAAGGAAAAAATCAATTAATTGAGGGGTACACTGACTCCGATTGGGCAGGAGACAGAACTACCAGGCAGTCGACATCTGGGTACTTCACATTTGTTGAAGGAAATTTGGTGACTTGGAGAAGCAAGAAACAAAAGGTAGTAGCCAAGTCTAGTGCAGAAACTGAGTTCCGAGGAATGACACATGGTGTTTGTGAATTGTTATGGGTTAAGAATGTATTAAAGGACCTGGGTATCAATTATGATCAACCAATGATTTTACATTGCGACAATAAAGCGGCTATAGAAATTGCTCACAACTCGGTTCAGCACGATAGAACGAAGCATGTTGAAGTTGACAGGCATTTTATTAAAGAAAAACTGGATCAGAAAATTATCCATGTTCCATATGTGAAATCTGAAGACCAGTTGGCAGATATTTTAACAAAGGCAGTATCTGGAAAAGTGTTTGAGACTACAATCAACAAGTTGGGTATGGTAAACACACATACATCAACTTGAGGGGGAGTGTTGGACCGAAGATTCAAATTCATATTTCTGTTTACAAGTTGCTTTCTAGATTCCGAATGTATAGGAAAATATAAATAGAATGTATAGGCTGTTTCATTATTTTTAGTGATACTGTTAACAACAAACTCTGGTTGTTTTATACTTGTATAAATATGGACCTTAATTAGCAGAGGTCTCAATAATGAAAATTAGAGAATTATTCTTCCATCCACTTATTTGACACGATTCACCCCCCACCCGGAAGCATACCTAAACTTAAACACTGTTTAAATTTAGTGTATAGTATATACAGCTTGGATAGTTGCATGGAGATACGTATTTCTGATATTCCTCATAAAATCTTTTTTTTTTTTTTTTTTTTGGTAATCAAATCTTTTTCTATTTAATAAGATTACGACGTGTCTACAGTCTTCACATCATTTTAATTTTTTGATAGAAACGGATTAAAAAAAAAAAGAGTAACTTGTGCACGGGAAAAGAAAATGAAAGTTAATTGGATTGGATTGCAGTGCATGCACTTGAGTTTGTTGCCTATTAATTGAACTTGATTTAATGCAAGAGAAATGAAACAGATCTACAAAGCAACAAAAGAAAATGCAGTCTCTCTAGTCACTATTGTTTTGTTCAGTTTGCTTAAAGCGATGGATCGATCCCAGGCTGCCTTGGAAGTTTGTTTGTGTACCTGTGGACTAGGATGCTAGCTGTAGGGACTAAGAGAGTACCGAATAGGATTGTGATTTTTTTTTTTTTTAACAAATTATGACACTCCCACTTTGCACCCCAAAAAACCACCCGTGATCTATGATCTGTGATCTCTTTCTGAAGATATTTCAATTCATACAGTTTCTGACTGTGTTACCTCTATCTTTCTTTCTGTATTCACCTATCCATACGCCACCATTACTTAGTGATTGGTCACTAGCAACAAATCTTACCTGGCATTCCAGTGAGGATATATTGTAATCTTCCTCCACTTAAAAAGTTGATTTTTTTTTACTTTAAAAAGTTCAGCTAGAAACAAACAATAGAAAAGCATTATTCTATCATTTAAGTAGCCATTTGCTAACATGCTTTCGGTACGTGTTTCAGTATTCTGATTACGTATCAGTATTTGATTTTTGGCTGACAGGATTGAACACATTAATTTGACTTAATTAATTATATAATGCAAGATCCGAGTGTTATGGTTGATATATGAGCGTTTAATATTATATATATGGTTGAGTCTTGAGTGTTTAATCATGCACTATATATATAAACAAAACATGGAAATATATGGTCCAAACCAAATAATGAAACTTGTTGTGGATGCATGTTCGGTTTAAATTTAAATAAATGAATATATATGGTCCCCCACTCACGGCTTCAATGGCTGCAGCAGGAATATTTTGGCCTTCTTTTTACCCTGGTGATGCTTGACGCCTCTTGAGTGACACGTCCTAATCTTAGCCCTTTGTATGGTCTATGAAACGTGGATCATTCCCTAAAGCAATATACCCTACCTTATATGAGGATACAACTTCTTAATGGTGACACGTTTAGGCTTTATCTATTCAAATTGGTAATGAAATTACGTTCGGGGAATATATGTTGGCTGTTTCATATTTTTATTTGACTTATAAGGTTTGTGGTGTTACTGTGATAGTAGTCTCTCATGTTAATGTTTCAGACTGTAAGCAAATAAGGCACTAACTAACATGGAGAGGGTAATTTTTCTTCTGATCGTGCATATAATTAAGTTCAAGAAATATTATGTGTAGCTTAGATGGTTAGCCTAGGTAAAGGTTTGGACATAGAAAACTAAATTCAATCAAATCAGCTAGGATAACGAGCATTTTTTATATAGAAAAATATTAGTTCTAAATTAAATAATATCCTCACAAAGTGATATACATGGACAAACTATTTATATTTCATGTCACAATTCTTGCACTCACTGTATAGTTGTTGTTGAAGACTTGAAGGGAGATACGTGGATTTTCTCTTCGTAAAACTCAAATTCAATTCTGATTATAAAAGTTTATTTTAGCTGGGAAAAAAATAATGATAAACACTATGTATTAAAACTTTGCCTGTATAATTTAGTTAATCTTTCGTTTGAATCATGAACTTTACTTCAAATGCACCCGCTCTGCTCCCGTCCGAAAAATTACAATACTCCAGTAGTAGGTACAATAGATCAATGAGAGTATGTCATGTCAGCTTTTATTGTTCTATAGAGAGAGAAAAAAATAATTTGTATTTTAGATTATGTATTCCGGAAAGAGTCTGATGTTTGTCATTTTAAATATTATAAGTTATGTTATTTTAGAAAAGAGACAAACACAAAAAATAAAAATCATGGAAGAGAGTAAGTGAGTGATTTTTTTGTAATTTAGATTTTAAATAAAAAATTATTTTGTGTCTATCTTTCTCTTAAAATGACACACAATTTTATTGTCATTTAAAATAAAAAACACTTTTTACTTCCAGGAAAATAAATAACGTAAAATCTAGTGTTGCACCTGTCGTATTACTCCCTTTGTATTGAAACTGCTCTCGCTCCCTTCTGGTGTATTGATGTGATTTCTTAATTGTCAAAATTGACCAGCATAGTTTACTCCACCAGAACATTGATTGTGATGAACAGCATTATACAACAGCAATTTTTTTTTTTTTTCTCCATGTATGCAACGAAAGAACAAAAGATTTCTCCAACCCATGTTCATAGTTACTTCAACGTCACAAGTCTGTCACATCTTATTCCCATTTCAGATACTATGTCTCAAATCAAACCCTCACATCAAATTCCTTATACATTCTTCATTTAAGTCCCCTTACCCTTACTCCACTCTCTTTCCCGTTTCTCCCTTCATATAATTAGAATCAACATGCATACATATATATATATATATATATATATATCAAGTTACTTAAATAAGGCCTATAAACACTAACCCCTAAGATCTAAATACTCCTTATGATTTAACCAACATAGTCCAAATGCATTTTAAGGCAAAATACCTCATTCAAACTCAAGTCTCCTATTACAGCACCAAATTCTTGAAACATAACATCAATAACAATAAAAGCAGTGCTATTTTCCAACAAAATTACAATATCTTAATACAGTCCCATCATTTTACAAACATAGCAAGTTTTTCGAATCAGTTCTTCAATGGAAGGAACTCAAAAAACTGGCTGGGCGCATTCATTGCTGAAACTGATATCTCTGTCTCTTTCTGTTGGTTAATGTTATCACTGCTGCCATGCCCATTCCTTACAGGGAAAAGTTGAAGGGTTTGAGATTCCACACAATTATTATCCTCAGTGCTGATACTGCTTAAGTGGATAACACCGTTTTCTCTGTGAGGTGAAATGAAGAAGCTGAGATCATGGGTCTTGACAAGCTTTGGGTCCATCAATCTTGCTGCTACTGTGGTTGAATTGGCCATACTAGTTGTAGAGTTAATAGGAGGGGTGTGTTGTATGAGGTGAGGGGTAACTGTAGGAGATGGAGGACAAGATAACTGCATCATATGCCACGTGGCATTCCTTTCCATAAAGTTCTTTCTCTGTTGTAATTCTCCTTCATCGAATTGGAACCATCCATCTGTTCTACTCTCTGCTACCACTGCTTTTGCTGCCCGTTGTATTGAAACAGATTCCTGAGGGTTTTAATTAAAGGCATGCAAAATCATGAAAACCTCAACATGTAAGGTACAAAACTTAAAACCAAAGGTGAAAAAAAAAAGGTACATATTTCAAATGGGCACTCCAACTCCAAGTTTGTATTTTTTAAATAAAGGTGCATGGTCGGTCTATGAGAAGTCAAATTAAAGGAGGGTGAGGTTTGTCTTTTCCATCACAAGAGTATGGGTGCTCAATTCCGTAGAATATTATGGAGTGCCCAAAAGCTTACTGAGTACTGACCTAAATGACATGAATAAGCACAAGCCCCAAAAGCCCAGCTAAGTTTCATAACAGCAGACCCGACAGAAAGGAAGGAATGCAGCTTTTAGGCCCTTTTCATTTCCCAACAAACAAAGCTTTTCTTAGGGTCCTTTCCCTAGCTAACTAGTGTGCTTATATATATATATATTCTTTATCTCCAACATCAGCTTCATCTCTAGTAATCATATGCTAATAATCAGTGCTTAATGGATACTGTTATTTCTAATAGACTTTTGGCGATTAAGTGAATCCCAAGTTGAGAAAGAAAAAAGGGTTAGTCCATGAACAAGGACAAAGACAAAGCGGGATTTAGAATAGACCTCTGCAAGAGTACTGCAGTTTGTAGGTGCCCAGTTCTTGGTCTGTTCAACTTCAAACACTGTCCTACCTGCGCCTGTAGACAAAAAGAAAAACAAAAAAGAATATAACTTTACATCTCAAGCAACAATCCGAATGATAAATTAAAAAGAAAAGCAACTACACATATAAGACGGATCTCTAACAAACAAAACTCAAAAAAAAAAAACACACATAACAAATCAAGGTATGATCAGAACCTCTAGTTTATATCTTCATTATCAGCTTTTATATTTATGTATATAAAGAAACAATAATGAAGATAATTATGTTAATATGGTTTTTTATATACCTAAGTCTTTCTTTTCAAGAGTAGTATCAAAGTCACGGGGGTGACCCTCAGCAGCTGATTCCATTTGACGGCGGCGCTTCTGCCTTTCTCTTGCTTTGTGATTCTGAAACCAATAGAAAACATTCTTCCCTTCAATTTTTCCAAATCTTCTAAGTTGTGCAGTTATTTGCTGGATTTGCTCAGCAGATGGTGTTCTTGTCCCTTTTCTATACAACTCTTCCAATGCTCTTAGCTGCTCTGGGGTAGGGTTCCACCTTGAACTCACCACAACTGGTGGAGTATTATTGAACTCTCTCTTGCTCTGCTCTGCCGCTGATGCTAAAACAAGAAACCTTTTACATTAATTTGCATATACCATCTCACATGAATATATAAAGACAAAACACTGGATATATACTCAACCACACACACACACACAGAGAGAGAGAGAGAGAGAGGGAGAGGGAAAAACAACATACCCAGATTGTGATATTGTGAAAAGAAATCATTGTCATGAATGAGGCTTAAGCAAGGAGTGTTTGTAGTTGAAGTGTTGATAGGTGAAGTCATTGGCCTAGGCATGAGAGGCCTGAGTTTCCTTCCATTGAATGCATAATCAGCCATGTTGAACTCACCGCCTTCATTGTAACCCACCATCCACATAGCTGGCTGCTATAGTCTTATAATTATCAAAAAGCAAAAGCTAGGTTTTTAATTTGTCACTCTGAGTGTAGCAGTGATGGGCTGATGATAGATGGAAAAGCTTATAAATGGAAGAATGAAGCTACTTGCTATATATAGTATGTAATGAAAATGAAATGAAACATATATAATAATAATAATAATAATAATAATAAAGGGGAATGGAAAGCAAAAGTGAAATGGTGGTGGAGTGCCAGAAATGGAGCAGAAGTTGAGAAAATAAAAGGGGAAAAAATGGAATGAGTGTCTAGTGTTGTTGAGCATGCAAGGTTGGGATGTGCATGAAAAAATGGAAATGCCTAGCTAGTTGAAATGAAAAGTAGACAAGGCTTATATATGGTATAGGTTAATGCTAACAAAGAAGGCCATTGTTGAAAGTGAGTTAGTTGAGCTGAAACTGTGAAGTATTTGTGTCTGAGACATATTCAGAGATGGGGATTGATCACTCTCTCTCTACTCTAGCTAGCATATGAGAAGGAGAGATATAGTCATATAGAGAGATATATAGAGAGAGATATAGAGAGAGAGAGAGAATGGTGTTGGTTTAATATGGGACAAAATGAGGCGGACATGAGGTTGACTAGGCTATTTTGGAGAGAGAGGGTGAAGAGAGAGAGAGAGAGGATGAAGAGACAAAGGCAAAAAAGAAAAGCAAAGAGGGAGAGTCAGTGAGGAAGGAAAAGGAGGAAGCGTGGAATTCTGGGAGATTTTTGGGAGTAGGGAATGAAAAACGACGTGACGATGATGAGTGTTATCATGAGCCTCATCACCCCTTCTCTTTTCCCTCCTCACATTTATTATTCTCTTCATGTCTCGTGCCTTTCACACTAATTCTCAATCCGAACTGCCCCTCTCTCCCTCTCTCCTCCTCCTCCTTCACCCTTAACCTTTTCTTTGTCTATATATTCTACTCTCTACGGACATATTTATTTGTTCTTTCTCAAATCTTAAATTTTCACTTTCACCACATTAATTATATATGTTTTTTTATATATATCAATTGTTATGTAAATAACCAATATAAGCTATGGTTAATTAATAATGGGGTGTATATATATATGTGAGATTGATCTTTTAGCTAGGCTTTGAGTTGTTTTATGTAATTTTGAGCAGTATAGTACCCACATATATATAGTAGCTAGCATCATTGAAATGATAGATTTACAACTATGAGCTGGAGCTAGCAAAATAGAAATTTTACTGTTACCCATTTGGAATCTTCCTTCTATGGTCCAGACCCATTTATTGGATTAAATTGATCATATGGGGGGTTTGTCCAGTGATAAGCAAAATCTTGTCCCATGTCCTCTCTCTCTTTGTGTGTGTCTCTGTGTGGCTTGGTTTGCATCCCCCTCTCTCTCTCTCTCTCTCTCTGTGTGTGTGTGTTTGCCTCTTAGGTATAGCCCCTTGGTCATTATGATGGAATGACTCAATTCTCGAGTACCTTAGGGTGGAACTCTGTCATGGCTGATATACGAATTTGAAAGCTATAATTGATTAATTATTTCTAGCTTTTTGTTGGGGGGAGGGCCTACGTCCTGCAAATTCTGAATACCTACTATTTGCATGTCTGTTATTTATGAGATGTGCATGCAAAAATATGTAATGAAAGTACCATGCAAACTACAGAACAATGCATCCACTATCTACTGTGAGTCTGTAATATATATATATATATATATTGTGCATTTCCCTATTACTGCACTGCCAATAAAAGCCCTAATCACTTGTCATTTCTGGCTACGCAAACCAAACCAAAACCACCCTAGTCAAAATATCACAAGGGTGGCCCCCTAAACTGTAATGTAAGGTTCTTTCTGATCCTTTTTAGGCTTCAGCTGCAATTAGTCAATGGCGTAATTTAGGAGGCATGTGCATGGGAATGTTTTCTTCTTCAAGGATCTCTTGTCTTTTACTACGTTTAAATAATAATAAAACATAGCTCATAACTAACATATCATGAATCTAGCTAAGTAGTCAAGTCCTATTTGATATATTATTTTTCTTTTTCTTTTTTGGGATACTCAATCTACATAATATAATGTTACCCGTGAATCCTGATTCACGTATATAGCTGGGTACCTTTTTTGGTCATGGAGTTATTCCAAGCTTCAAAAGTGTGCTGTGCATTGCAGGGATTAATTTTTCTTCAGTTTTATAGGCCTCTATTTTTTCCCCAAGTCTACAAAATGTGCAGTGTTAAAGAATCAAAACAAATAACGATTAAATTTGATCCAGAAAAAATAAAAAATAACATTAAATGTTTTGGTACATGTGTTGGGAAAAGAGTAGGAAGGTTTAAGTGAAGAAAGGTGAAAGACAAAACATGTTTTTTTTTTTTTTTTTTATTTTGGTGAGCAAACATGTTTACTTTTAGCATAAACTTGGAAGCACGAAAATATGAGGAATTAATTAGCAAAATAACTTTTAATTCTTTGATAATTAGACAAGAGAATCATTTTAAAAGTTAAGCTAAATTCAATTTGTAAAACGTTGTTGCATACATGAGTCCACATTTACCCGCATTGGCATGCATTGTTTTCATAAAAATTCAAGTGACACTGGTCTTAGTCTTATTCAAGAATTTCCCTATTTCCCAAGAGTATAGTAAGACTTCCAATCTTGCAACGACAAAACACGATGAAAGCAATTACACTCGAAGGGACAAGAGTTCAGAGGGGACAGCTAGAGCTTTTTCCCCATAAAGGGCAAAAAGGATTGTAAATATATTATTTACAAAATATGATTTAGGCTGTTTTTCTTTTACTGTGCACTCCAAATATTCCATCTAATTTCTAAGATTTTTTTATATATAAAAAATTATATTTATTTCTCTAAAATTAATCGTTTTAAAACATGCATTTATTACATATATTCTCACTTATATTACATTCCCAGTAACAAATATCGTAATAATTCATTAAACAAACTGTTTATGTTTAGAAGAAGAAAAACTGAAAATAAGACATTCTAAGTTCATTTTTTTATTAAATTACTCTTGAATATTGGTTACGTTAAATTCATCGAATGAGTGTGTTAGATTCAAATGGTAGGATTGCAAGTGAATCGCACCAAATATAAAGGGTTTGTACATTTCATTATTATTATTTTCAAATTATTGCACTGAACATTGGTTAACATAAAATCTGTTAGACGAGTGTTATACACTAAGGGTTGCACGTGACTCCCACATGAATCACACGAAATATAGAAGGCTTGCATATCTCAATATTTTGGTACTTTACAAAATTTATGTCATTGCCCGTGACAAAAACCACTTTCCCCAAAACTTTAGATGATCATATTGCATGATCGGCAAATTAGCTATATGGTACTAATTATAAGACCAAATATTAAATTCCAAAAAAAAAAAAAAAAGCTATATGGTACTAAGACAGGTGATGATGTTTTTTAGCGCAATTTGAGAAATGAGATTGCTAAGTTGTCTTATATAATTAATGGGATTTGCATTTGTCATTTAACATGACACAACAAAGTTTCTTACACACACAACATTTTGTGGGGCCACACTTTTTGAAGAAAAAAGAAGAAAAAAAATTACGGCACGCAAAACGAATCTCTATAACATTACACAATTACTTTTCCTACAACATAACTCTTATAAAACCCATAATGAATTAGATCCTTTCCAAATATTCGATCAAGAACGTTCAGAGAATCACTTTTTACTTATTTTGTGGAATTGTGGAAACATTTTGGTGTGGAATATCTTCAACATCCATGTTGTAAACAAGTAGTTATTGCTGATAATAGAGTGTAATTTATTCAAAACAATGAAGTTCATATTGGATATTAATTATGTAGTTTTTATGTTTATTATGTTTTTAGAGAGGTTGTTAACAGAAGTTGCCAGAACAATGGTACTTGCGGAGGAGTAGCTGAACCCAAAGTTATAATTAGGTTGGTGAAGAGGATCCAATTTAACCAGCTTCCCAGGATATGAGATATATGGGGCTCCCGTCTTTGAATCATTTTATTGACTTTTTTTTTAAACTATATTATATACGACTGATATAAGACAATTTAATTAGCACCTTAAGTATTAATGTTTTATCATAAAAAAACAAAAACAAAAAGTTTGATTATTATAATAACTATTCAGAAAGATATAATGATACATCAAATTTAAACTCTTAAAAAAGAACTTAGTAATCACAATACATTTTTTTTTAACTCTTGTAAATATGTGTGTGCGTGATTCATACTCAACAAACTGTTGATAACAAATAACAATCACCCAACAAACGGTGATGGTATCTCTAATATTTCCATTTTGCAGATACTGCTTCTCTTAGTCCCTTTTTCTTAATTTATTTTAACTTTGGCTTAAAGTAAATTTAGTTTTATTTTAGTGCAAAATTTCTTGTAATTTGTGATTATTTTTTTTATAATTATGTTTGTAATCATTGGGCCAGTCTACATAATTAAGGGCCCGTTTGGAACTTCGAATTGTTTATGGTGGCTATGGCACCGAAGTTTCGCATAGTCATCGATGTTCAGGAACAGAATATCTAAGCTCCATGGATTTCTCAGAAACCTTATTCCTTCTCCTTCTACCAAAGCCATGCATTCCCTTCATCAACATCAACCCAAACAAAAAAACAAACCCAGTGCTCCATTTCGCAGCAACAACAACATGAAGAAACCCATGAAATTGAAGAAGAACAAGAAGAAGAAGAAGAAGAATGATACGAGAGAGTATACGAGGAACCTAATTGGGAAAATTTACAGAACGTTAAAGTTTTCAACTTGGGATTCTGCTCAGCAAGAGCTTGAGAATCTCCCCGTGAAATGGGACTCTTACACGGTGAACCAGGTTCTCAAGTCACACCCTCCAATGGAGAAAGCGTGGTTGTTCTTCAATTGGGCTTCTGGGATCAGAGTTACACAACGATGCTGGATATTTTCGGAGAAGCTGGGAGGGTTTCATCCATGAAACACGTTTTCCAGCAGATGCAGGAGAAGGGGATTAAGATTGATTCTGTTACTTACACTTCCATGATGCATTGGCTATCGAGTTCGGGGAACGTGAATGAAGCAGTGGAGATGTGGGAACAAATGAAATCCAAAGGATGTTCCCCAACTGTTGTTTCTTACACTGCTTATATGAAGATTCTGTTTGACAATCACAGAGCGAAGGAGGCTACTGATGTTTACAAGGAGATGCTTCACTCTGGCTCTGTACCAAATTGTTACACTTACACGATATTAATGGACTATCTTATTGGGTCTGGTTAGTGTGCCTTCAACCTGTTTGTTATGTGGTCTATGAGGGCATTCAGTCCTTGTCTTTGCCAGTTAAATGATATATGGGGAAAATAGGAACAGTGGCCAAAGTGCCACTGTTGGAAAAAAAAAATATCAAAATGTCACGCCAACAGTAAATTTTGTCAAAATGCCATGTGTCATATTTCGTTACACTGTGTAGCGAAATATGTGCACATAATTCGCTACACAGTGTAGCGAAATATGCCATGTCAGAATGCACAGAACCAAAAATGGCACATGTCAGACAGGGAGAATTTCGCTACACTGTGTAGTGAAATTCTTCCTGTTTGACACGTGGCATTTTTTGTTTTGACATAGCATATTTCGCTACACTGTGTAGCGAAATATGCCACGTGGCATTTTGACAAAATTTACTGTTAGCGTAGCATTTTGGTATTTTTTTTTTTTCCAACCGTGGCACTTTGATCACTGTTCCGGAAAAATATATATTCAAGTTGGTGGTTCTTAACAATGGCATAAACGTATAATTTATTATTGGTTCTTTTATCCTTTGGTGATGCTACTATTTTATAACTAAATGAACTTAAAACTCCAGCTGAACTTGTCATGATTCTTTGCTTTTGAGTTTGACACTTTGACCGAAGGATAAGTTTACTTGCGGAAAGCTCAAGCTTAACTAGCCTAATGA